TTAGTCTCCAGAGAGACACCATTGCTCTTCAGTACTTTGGAGAGGTCTCTAACAGCAGACTTTCCCGTGGCAATGCACCTGTTAATTTCCTGGCTACTGGTGCCAAGATTGTTGACTGTGGAGCCAAGCAAACTAAAGCTGTTAGGTAAACATAATTTGAAACATTTTAAGATGCTGTTCCAGCCATCACTTCTCTCTTGTTGAAACAATATAGTCTAGAATCACATACTCCCTAACAGGAATATGTTGGTTGGTACTCAGTACTGTAGCCCAAGAAGTAAAAAATGTGTTCTTAGTAAATATGAAGGTGCTTGACATCATACTTTATTAGTTCATCACGTTTAGTTGTGCAGACATCCAGAGTAAATGACATATTTGCTATGTCACAATTCCCAAGGAATTAGACTTTTCTGTCCATTTTTATTTACTGCAGCATGGGCATTGGTGTTGGTGTGCTACAGTGGATATGGGGGTTGCTTGAGAAAGTCAGCAGTGAGAGCTCACATAATTGCTGACTGTAAAAGATGTTCAACTGTGTAGGTTTATAGTCAGCATTGTGGTAAATAATAGTCAAACGTAAGAGTGTAGCTTCTCTTAACCCCATAGCACCTACGAGTACCTACCCATCTTTTTTCTCTTTCTTGTGTGTATCATTGAGTCAGAACCAACCCATACGTGGGTCCTCTAGCAGGTTTTCAGAAGCTATAATTTGCATGAGGGGTGATTGCCCATCTTTCTCTCACAGAGCAGGAGAAATCCTAGTGGATTTGAACTATGTGTCTTTGGTCTGGCAGTGCAGCTCCTTACCACTTGACAACTAGAGCTCCTTTATTCAACTTACTGATGCTGTTTTTTTTAAAATGAATGGTCCAAACAAGTTGCCTCCTCATTCCTCACATACATTTCAGGCCCCTACACACCCTGACTCCCACTCCTCCTGCCCCATTGAGTTTATGCTGGTAGAGAGAACAGTGACCAGACTTCATCAGCGTAATGAATACTGTATTTTTATGCAGATAGTGTACACATTACATACTTTTTGCAAACCAAGAAACCCTTTTCTGTTTCCTGAGTGTGTGTGTGTGTGTCTTTCTGTGTGTCTGTAGTGAATAATGGACTCTTCACACACTATTTGACTAAATAATAACGAACTTTAGTATCTGTGGTGGGTGGAGGGAGGGGTGAAGAAGTTAGGAAAGATCTAGTGGGGATCTGAAAAGACGAGGTAATAGTGGCCATAGATGATTAATTTTATTTATAAGCCAAAGTGACTGGGGAAAAAATTAAGAACCACACCGTTTAGTTTTTGGCAGTAGATTAGTTCTTAAACTCTCCTGGTCATTCATCATCACATTGCCCTTTGCAAAGGAGGAAAGGGAAATAAAATAGAACAAGAGTTGAAATAGATGTTGTACCTGAGGTACAACTTAACTTAGAAATTCATGTATATGGAAAAACTTCTATTTTCTGATTGTTAGATAGAAACATTTACTGTCTTCTAAGCTATAAACTTAAATGTTATACTTCTGTCTTGACTTTTGTGGTTATTTTTGGGAAAAGTGTAAGTGATCCAAAAACCTCAGTTTTTGAAATTTATGACTGTGTGAATCCTTAACTTTTGTTATCCAAAGAAACAGTTTAACATTTGGCAGAGAAGTGATGAACTGTGGACAAAGCCATGTTCTAGAATGTTCTTGGTCACTGTCTAGTGACCAGTAGCTGGAAAGACCAGCAGAGAGGTACACTAGATGGTGGTTTTCAAAGCCTAACCTCTTCTCTTTTCCCCCTTTCTCCCAGGACAGTGGCTTAAATGTGATGACTTAAAAGGCCCATGTTCAGAGAGACGTGAGAAATTTGAAGTTCCTGCTTCTGAGATTCATATTGTTATTTGGGAAAGAAAACCATCCCAGGTTCCAGATAAAGCAGCTGCTGATTTTCCACTTGGAAAGATGACTGATCAGCAGGCTTCTGGCAATCAAGATCCAGTGTTTCCAGCATTATGTCCCGAGGGCCATCCTACCTCAGGTGCTGCAACCTCAGTCACACCTGCCTCAGTTGGAATGTCCTCGGTCACTCAGGCCTCAGCTGGAATGTCCTTGGTCACTCAGGCCTCAGCCAAAATGTCTTTGGTCACTGATACTTCAGCTGAAATGTCCTTGGTTAATCAGGCCTCAGTTGAAATGTCCTCGGTCACTCAGGCCTCAGCTGAAATGTCCTCAGTCATTCAAGACTCAGCTGAAACGCCTTTGGTCACTGAGACCTCAGCTGAAAAGTCCTCGATCACTCAGGCCTCAGCTGAAATGTCCTCGGTCGTTCAAGACTCAGCTGAAACGCCTTTGGTCACTGAGACCTCAGCTGAAATGTCCTCGATCACTCAGGCCTCAGCTGAAATGTCCTCGGTCATTCAAGACTCAGCTGAAACGCCTTTGGTCACTGAGACCTCAGCTGAAAAGTCCTCGATCACTCAGGCCTCAGCTGAAATGTCCTCGGTCATTCAAGACTCAGCTGAAACGTCTTTGGTCACTGAGACCTCAGCTGAAATGTCCTTGGTCAGTCAGGCCTCAGCTGAAACATCTTTGGACTCTGAGACTTCAACTGAAACGTCCTTGGTCTCTCAGGCCTCGAGTACTGGTGATCCACCAGCTCTGCTACCAGATGAAGCTGTTGACGTTGGGGACCATTTACTTCCAGGTCCACAAAGTGTGACTGATGACAGCATTTTCATTTTGACACTTGAAGAAATCCAGGTTCCCTCTGGTGGCTTCCTGTCTGAAAACCAGCCTGTGGGAGGAGGTCAAGCAACTGTTAGTATGAGCCCTTGGCAGTCACAGGAATCCCTGCTGGAGTCATTAGTGTCGGCTCCTTGCACTGACTCTCCTGTGGGTGTAAGTGTTCCATGCCAGCCTGTAGATGCCACCACACTACCAGCACCACTCACCGGTACTGAGCCCACGATCAATGGTTACGCGGCCCATCTTACACAAGAAGGAAAGTCCACAGAAAACGAGCTGCCACTGCCAGGAGCTGGAACTTCAAAGCCAGAATCACATGTTACATCACTGTTATCCTCTCTAAAGAAAAAAGACACTACTACAGAGTCCCCAGCCGCCACAGCCTGTCTGAGACAGAGTCAGCCCCCCAAAGAGAGCCCGAAGAAGCCGTTCATGGGGAGCTGGGTCAAAAGCCTACTGAGCAGGGGCGCCTCTTTCATGCCATCCTGCGTCTCTGCACGTGCTAGAAGCATCATTACAGATTTGCAGCCTTCAGTGAAAGGGGCAAGTAACTTTGGTGGCTTTAAAGCCAAAGGTACAAACCAGAGAAACAGCCAGGTGTCCAAGAGAGTGCGGAAGTGCACGAGTAAGCCACCTGCGCCCCCTCCACCTGCACCACCTCTGCCACCTGCACCAAGTTCCTCCATCTCTGATAGCCTGGCCTCCCCTCTGCAGGCCCATAGCAGGGATACTGCTTCTGAAGGCCCTTCTCCTGCAGGGCACATCCATCAGAGTGTTCCTGGCAGGGAGCTTGACTCTCCAGCTGGCTACAGAGACTCAGCCAATGATCAGATTCATCAGCTGAGGCTCAGACTGCTTAAAAAACTTAAGGCCAAAAAGAAGAAATTAGCTGCCCTGATGTCTGCCCCCCAGAATGGAAAAGATCCAAATGAAAATTTGGAAGCCATGTCCCATTCTGGATCTCCTAATAACTGTGACTCCATTGAGCAGTTGCTGGATGAACTGCAGTATCAGATTGACATTGCTGATAACAAAGCTGGATGCACGACTGTCCCAGGTGCTTCCCCATACGGTGGTCAGACGCAGGAAGAGATCTTAGCAGAATTGCTGTCTCCTACAACTCTTGTTTCTCCAGGTCTTACAGAGCAGGGTGAAGCTGACTTTCGGTATTTGGAAATGGGAGATGATCATGTCCCAACACCAGCACCCAGTCACCTGAGCATCACTCCTCAGAACACACATCCAAAGCCGGATCATAATTACTGCAGTCCCACCAAGAAAAGCCGGGGTGACATCCAGGCAGACTTGGTAATAGATAATTCCTGTGTTCGAACGTTAAACTTAGAGAGTCCCATAAAGACTGATATTTTTGATGACTTTTTTTCTACTTCAACATTGAATTCTTTAGCAAATGATCCATTAGACATACCTCATTTTGATGATTACCTGTTTTGAGAGTTGCCTGCCAATGCCTTAGTTTATTTATTGCTCTGGAAAAAGTTAAATGATATTTTCAGGTAGGATTTGCACACAGCCTTTAAATAACTGTGAACAAAAAGCAAGCTACTGGAGGTTTTTTATTCTGCCTGAGAAGTATGTAATCTGTTTTACAAATTAAAATTACCAAGAATTTGGCCCCTGCCTCTGTGTGTGTGTCCCCTTCATTTAGTACCTATAGGAGAATGAGAATTTCAGAACATTAAAAAACAAACTAGGTAGAATACCATGCAGCACTCAGGAGCAACAATTTTGTAAAAAAAATGATACAACATGGGAGTGGCTAGAGAACATTATGCTGAGTCAACTACCTCAGGCTCCTAAAGTCAAATACTGTATAAGACCTTTGTGAAAACAGAAGGTTAACTAGTGAGATATGTATGGATATACAAAGAGGGAAGAAGGGGTAGAGGTCTGAGGATGGGGAGAGGGGAAATCACAGGGTCGCAGAGTTTGGTGGCTTGAGGGAAGGAATAGAAAAAAGGTACATGAATGAAACAATTTAAAAAGGGAGGGAAGGAAGAAAAACCAAACATTACAGATTTGGCAATATAGTTGCTTGTATTGAATTTCTCTGTATTAAATCTTATTTTGGCCACATTGGTTCAGGAAACACATGAATTTGTACAAACTTGAAGATGGCTCATTGTACATGAGGTTATGGCTGGCTATTGGGTGCCTGGTCCAATTAGAGCCAGGCCTTGGGAGCCCTGCAGGATCCTGTGGACCATCAGTTCCTGCTGTATGTTTGTCTCCTTTTCTTTTACAAAGGTGGCAAGAAGCCTTGTTAAATCAGTTTTGAATAATGTTGATTGTTCAACAAAGGGTCTTCAACAAAGTCATCCATTTTTACATTGGTATAGAGGAGGTTCACATGTTGGTGAACACCATCTTCTCCAGTGACAGCTGTTTTCTGCAGTCAAGTAGAACACCACCCAGAAGTTCTGTGTTGGAAGGCATCCTCCTTTGGTGTGTGATAATTGGGGTCCTCAAAACAGCACTCGTAAGTGCAACTAATAGTCTCTCCCTGCCGGGAACAAAGAGAAGAACAGAGATGCACAGAAAAAGTGCACAGGGCTATGCAAGCCTCAGCCTCCACAGTCCTGAGACCAGAGCCAGGTCCACTCAGAAAGGGCCCACTGGGTAGAGTGGGAGATAGGAGAAATGCACAACAGAGCTCAAAACCATGAAAAGGGCTAGAGTTACTGGCCTCTTAGAGACTGGTGGAAGCAGGGAGATTCTGGCCCTCGGTCACCTTTCCAGCCTGGAACAACTCACCCCTGTGGCTCAACTTTCTGTCAAATCCTAAATGTACAAAGAGAACAGTTACACTAGGCAGACATTCACTCCAGAGAACAGTGAACCAGATGGCACCAAAGGGGCAACAGGTCAAGTTCAGGGGCCATCAAGTCAGATCCGACTCAATAGCTGCCCCTCTAGTGGGTCCACAGCACTGGCAGCGCTGTGCCTTGCTTACAGGGCCTCCTTCACCAAAGCTCCCTCAGGAAGATGCAGGGGAAACAAAGTTCTATTTGGGGAGAATAGTAAGTTAGAAAGCCTGCTGTATGTCAGTTGCTGTTACACATCTGATGCTTTATACCTCAGCATTCCCATGAGGGAAAACCTGTTAGCACAAAGTGCAGGAAGCGGCCCAGAGCTACAAGGTCATAGTGATGGGGCTGAGAGGAGTGGTTGCCACAGCTATTAGTAAGTGGTCATCCTGAGTCCACTGCGGGTTTCACTTAACGCCTTGACACCCAGAGAGCAATGATGTGAGTAACTAACCATGGAGAAGGTTTTAAGTACTTTGTATGAATAATTGTCAAGTTTGCTCTTGCACTTTCCCCCCCAATTACAAAAATAATTCATGCTTACTGTAAAGAAACTGGGAAAGTATCAGAAGAATTTGAGTCATACATCTTAATAGTGACATTAACTGCTACAATCTTTTTCATGCATATGGGCTTTGATGTTGTTATGCACTATAGAGCCAGAACCAACGCAAAGCTGACCCTCTGGCAGCTTTTCAGAGCCAGTTACTCACACGGAAGAGTGCCCATCCCCACAGAGCAGCTGGTGGCCTCAAACTGTGACTTCAGGATTCCAGTGCAGCTTCTTGCCAGTCGGCCACCAGAGCTCCCTCATAGGCTTTAAGAAGTGAAATTAAATCCTATTTACCTATTTGTATGATTCTAATTTTGCGTAATGAACCGTGTTCATGTTACAGAACTTCTGACAACTGATTAAATAGCTCCATAAAACCAGGCTGTATTGATGAATGCACCACTGTATGGGCAATTCCTGGGCAGCACACTTGGTAAAGTGCTGGAGGAGTAGCCAAGTTTGGCAGTTCACAGCCACCCAAAGGTGCCTCAGAAGACAGGCCTGTTGATCTGCTTCTAAAAGGGCTGGGCAGGAGGCCAGAAACACTCTGTGTTGCCTACAGGGGCCACTATACCTCCAAGCCATTGATAGCGCTGTCCACGCCTCTTCACGGCTAAGGTGATCTGTAGTGCTCCTTGCACTGCAGAAACTGTTGACAAATTTTCATGTAGATCCATGTTTTCTTCTCTGTAAGCGAAATTGCTAGGTCAGAAGATAGCCACCCACATTTGACGTCTTAACTGCCCTCAGTCCTTCAGTCCTGGGACCAGCACGAAGACAAGTGATGCAGCCTCAATTAGTTTTCTTATGATTCCTAGTGAACTGGAACTGGGTTTCTGTAAGAACATGCTTGTCCAGCCTTTACTTATTCATCCAATCAGTTATTTCTCCATTTCTACTGGGTACGAAGCATGGTTTGAAGATCCAGAGATGAGGCAGTAAATAAGAGGAATTTTCTTGCTCTTTGAGGATCTATCTACCTCTCAATAAGATAAATATATAGTGTTGGGAAATACTGCAGATTTGGTTCCAGACCACTGTAACAGACAGTGCCACAATTTGCTGTTTTCCAGTGCATACAAAAGTTACATCCAGTCTTGAGTCTTACTGAATGCGGTGGAAATGTTTGCGTGAGTGTCCTAAATGGGACACGAGACACACAGTGAGCACAAGCTCTTAGGGGGGAAAGACGCCAACATGCTTGATGCAGAGTTGCCACAGACCTTCAATTTGTAAAACAAATTCTCTTTGAAACAATAAATGAAGCATGTCGGCACATACTCTCAGCTGGTGGTGCTTTGTAGAAAGGTGGTACATGAGGAGGGGGGAAACGGTTTTTTAACTAGGTGGCCTGGGGAGGCATCTTGGAAGTGGTTGATACTGAAGCAGTGAAGTACCGAGAAAGAGCCCGATTCATGAGGAGCAAGAGTACAAAGAAAGGGTTAAGAAGGAGCATCAGGCCAGACATGTCGCCAGAGGTCAGAACAGAAAGCTCCTGGAGCCACAGCAGGGCACTGTCTACAGTGAGAATAATGAAAAGCTGAGAAGAGATTTGAGGCAAGAGGGTAACATGATCTAGCCTGGCTTTTAAAAGGGTCACTGAAGTGTGAAGAATGAGTACAGATGGTCAAGAGTAGAGGCTGGAGTCCATTACAGTCCTCCTAATGAGAATGTGGATGGGATGGGGGCGGAGAGGTGCTACTGGGTCACTGTTCATTTTTAAGGTAGAGCCAGCAGATATATTGAATGGAGACCAAGAATTCCAAGATGAATCTTAGGTTATCATTGCCTCCTTGAGGCAGCGACCGACTTGGGAAGGAAAGAACTTGAAGGGTGAGATAATTCCATGTCAGCCAGGAGATTGCTGTAAGACTTTAAAATAGAAAATTTAATGAATGACTCCGCAGGCTGGAGTTCAGGACAGAGTAGGGCAACTGGATGGAACCTTAGTGGGAATTAGGAATGCATGAATCATTTCATGCATACAAGAGGAGGACATAATGGAGTTTACACAGTCCTTGGGAACAAAGATAGGTAGGAGGGAAGCTAGAGAACTGTGGTCCTGCAGCCACCATAGAGGATGGGTTTTTAGGCCTGAGAGACGATTATGTCAGATTCTCACTACTGGGTCAACTGGCAGCATCAGGATGAATGGTGAAGAGATTGAGATTGTTTACAGCTTTAGTTTACTTGGCTCCACAGTCAATACTCTTGGCACCAGCAGCCAGGAAATTAAAAGATGTATTGCGATGGGAAATTTTGCTGTTAGGGACCTCTCCAAAGTAGTGAAGAGCAATGGTGTCTCTCTGGAGACTAAGGTGCGTCTGATACAGGCCATGGTCATTGCAATCATTTGTTATGCGTTAGAGAGTTGGACAATGACTAGGGAGGATAGAAGGAGAATTGATGTATTTGACCTGTGGTGCCAGAGAAGAGTATTGAGTGTATCACGGACTGCTAAGAAAACAAACAGATTCATCCTAGAGAGGGTTAAACCGGGCTGCTCCTTGGAGGCAAGGTTTCTGAGGCTTCGTCTGACATACTTTAGACATGTTGTAAGGAGGGACCGGTCCTTGGAGAGGGGCATCATGCTTGGTAGGGTGGAGGGACAGCGCAGGAGGGGAAGACCCTCTATGAGGTGGATAGATTTCAGTGACTGGGGTAATCGGAATGGGTTTACCGGAGGCTCTGTATTGATGGGTCAGCTATGAGTTGGTTCTGTCTCCATGGCAGTGAGTGAGTTTGCAACCAAAAGGCACACAATTCATATTCACTAACTGCTCCTTGAGAGAAGGATGAGCAATCTCCCAGGTAATTTGCTGTCTCTGAAAACCCACTGGGGGTCAGCTATAAGTCAGTTCAATCCATCTCAGCTAGGGTCTTCCTCACCTGTGCTGTCCCTCGACATTTCCAAGCATAATAGCCTTATCCAAAGACTGGTCCCTCCTGGCTACATGCCCAAAGTATGTGAGATGGAGTCTCAAAATCTTTGTCTCCATGGAGCAGTTTGGGTTCACCCTCTACAGGACAGACCTGTTGGTTCTCTTGGCAGTCCATGGTATGTTCAACACTCT